GTGTGTGTGTGTGTGTGTGTGTGTGTGTGAAGGAGAGCAAGAAAGAGAGAGAGAGGCAGAAAGAGGGAGCGAGAGGGGTGGGTGGGAGGGAGGGAGGATTGATCCGCGTCTGTTAAAATCTTGTTCTGGTTTTTCTTGGAGTGAGGTCTGTGCCTGCCGACGCGCCTCTCCTGTGCAGCCCCCCTCAAGAAGAGCTTCTCTTTTTTTAAGAAAAGAAACCTTGGAATTTTTTGAAAGGGACAAAAATCTACATAATACCAGTGAAGTGGATAAAAGCGCACGGCTGGACTCTTTTTGCGTTCCTTCCTTCGTTTCCTCCTCTGGTGCCTGAATGAAACAGGGAAACACAAACAGATATATGGGAAAGAGGAGCTGTGCAGGTTTTGCACTGGGAGTCGATCTGTCAGTGAGATTTTGCGTAAACATGTTTCCTGCGAGCTCGCGTTAACTTTTAGTCCTTCTCAAACTGGTGAACTCGACTCCGTTCCTCTTCCACCGCGGAGTTGTTTTTTCTCGGAACGAAGAGACTTTGGTGTTTTCCCCCCTTCAGAGAAACTGCTTAAACTTTCTGCGTTTGAAAAAAATAAATAAATAAAAAGATCGGATTGCATTTTCCCCCTTCAAACATTTTGGAGGTGATGTCATCGTGCTGTGTTTTGGCAGGTATTGTGTCGAGAGGGCGCAGGGAGGACTACTGCAGCCAGGCGGTAACCAGCGGCTGAGGAAAGCGGGGAAGTCCGGAAAATCAGGTGCAAAGTGCGGCTGTCATTTCCTCGCCGTGTCGCGGGTGGCTGAGTCCGCCACCCAGTCACAGCTGTTCCCATCATCTCCAGCCACCCCTCCCTTCCTCATCTTTCTTTCCCCTTTATTTCCCCCTCCGATTCTCATTCAGCACTCTCCATATACCCCTCTGAGCTGGACCGCTCCGGGACCTTATCACCCACTTTGTCAAACGCTGTTGGTCGGTGTCACCTGAGCCACAGACCAGTTGAGTCAGCGTGGGTACGCAGACATGACCGTGCCTGCCTTGCATTACCCTGGGCCCGCAGAGCAACCTTCTCCAGGTCGCAGTTTCGTCCACCAGCACGCCCAGGTACCCCACCTCCAACAGCATCTGACCCTGCTCTACTGGGACTAAACCTGCCTCCTGCTCCCGTCTGCGGCGTGGCAAACAACCCGTCTCATCCCAGCAACCACATAACTCATTTTGGTGTCCGGGAGCCTGCTGTTACGCTTAAACGTTACGCATTGGATTACACAAAAGATTACGCACGCGCCGCATCTGTTCACTCGGCCAAGCACCACTCTGAGGGTCAACAGGGTCGACTGGAATTGGCTATCTATAAGGCGTGAGCGCGCTTTCACCTGTTCCTCTCCTTTTCGGGCACGCGCAGCGAGCGTTTAAAATTCTAACTCTTTGCTCCTCCGCCCATCCGTTCCTTCCCCGGTCTGGACAGCTGTTAGAGGTTGCCCGGCGGTCACAGTGGCACAGTTCACCCAGCTTCAGACCCCAACTTGCCCGTGCCCGCACATTTACTTACGCCGGGGCAACCGGGGCACAACGCCGCCGATGCCAACAGGAGTGTCCGCTCACTCTTTGACTCTGCACAACATCCACCGGTTTCAAAACACAGAGGGGGGCTCTGAGCCACTCTGTCGGACTGGCTCAAACCGAGCGAGGAGACTGTCTCTGGGACAAGTTCCATAGTGGAGGGGGGAAGCAATGTGGTCCCTTCTTTCCACGCTGACCGTCTTGTAAGTCATTTCTATCACTTTATCATCAAATATTATTGCTTCACTCCTCAGGTTCTATTGTGTTTCAGTTGTTTAAACTAGTTTCTGGGTAGGCGAGAAGACGATGGAGAGAAAGGTTGCAGAATCTAGCGATTACATCACTCCTAATCAGTCCCCATAGAAAACATGCCATAGAGCCCTGTTTTGATTGGCTGACAGTTCAGGGTCACTGGGTCAGAGTCAGGGCCGTGTAACTCATAAAACCTGCCATAAACATCTCCATCACCATCTGCATTTACTTCAGGGATGGCCAGGCTGGCTTAGAAAAGACCATTTCTCATCTCCAAGAAAATGTTTTTTCCTATTGAAAATATTTGAGAAGTCAAATAACACAAGCTCTATCTAGTGTGATAGGAAAATGATAAAGTGCCAAGAGCAAATCTAAGGGAGGAGGATATGGGCTCAAGGGGCTCGAGTTTGCCCATTGGAGGTGTGTCTTGTTAAAAGCCAGGGGTTTATTTTTCTTTCTTTGTGTCGGCGGTGTTCTCCCAGATGGCAGTCATCTCCAGATACTTCTCATTCCTCACACAACCTGGACAGGGTGTGTGCTCCTGCTGCTGCTGGTGTCTTCCTGACTTTCCTTCTCTTTGTGTGTCTCCCTCACCCTCTCTCCACCTACCCATCTAACTACATACATCTGTCTTGCTTTCTTCCCTATAATGCTTTTTCCATAGATACTTCCTCCGTTAAAAAAGAAAAAAGAAAAAAAAGTATGAATTAATAACTGATGAATGATGACGCCCCTGGCAGTGTCTGAAGATGAGCAGGCTCACTGTTTAGTCTGCTGGTTTTAGTTTAGGTCTACCTGAGCCAGTCATCTCTCCACTCATCTCTGCCTCACTTATCATTTTTACAACAGCTCCATTTATTCATCCACATACTGTTTAACCAACTTCATCATAATTCTTCAGCTAAGGGCCTTTAGCCACAACAACCTGTTACTGCTCTTCTGCTAAAGCCACAGAACAATGTCTAGGCCTTCTGGTTTTCTCACAAATGTTGCGCTGTAAGCCCTGTTACTGCCAATACCACTCACACACCCACTCGCTGAACCAGTATTCTTAACGAAGGCCTGCCGCAGAACATCTGAAACTCTTTGCACTGTGCTGAAGCCCACTGCTCCAGCGTTGGCCTACCACGTTAACCACTGCTACACACAGCTGAAACCGCTGCTCTGTGCTAAGTCCCACCAGGTCGACCACTCTCACTCCACACTGGTGCCCAGTCCTCGATACTGAGGCCTGCTCGTCTAACCACAGACTCCATATGGTAGATCTGCTGGGACGCACATTTATGATGTCAGATCATTGCTTGCTTTGGCAACTGGCCAAGGTGTACCGGGCTTTCCCTCTCTCCATACCTCCTTCTGTCTTTACTCTCCCCAACTTTTACTCTCTCCTATTCTCATCCCTCCCCCACTCCTGGCTGATCCTGTCTCCCTCTTTCCTCTCTGCTTCTTTTTCTCTCTGTGGCTGGCATAATATGGAGTGTCTGTGGTTTTTGTGGGAGCGGGAGAATCCAGTGCTGAGGCACTTTTCCTACAGTGTCCTCGGCAGCAGTGCAGCCGTGGTGTTTTAACAGCTGAGAGTCCTCACAATGCACAGGCGCTCAGGTTTTTTCGCCTGCGCAGGCAAAATGTGAGGGCCAATGCTCTACTGCATTTCCCAGGATGTCTGCATCTATTAGAACGATTAAGAAGCCAACGCAAGGCAATACTGAGAAAGAAAGAAAAGAGAAAGGAAACAAAAGGGTGATGATGTGATGACGTTTTGTTTATACATGTGTGTGTGACAGGAGGCAGTAGCGTGTTACCATGGGCATGAGCTGAACACCTCTTCTCTTTCCTGTTATTTATCTTTTTCTCTACTTCTCACATCAGTCTACACTGTGGTTACACGTGTCTCTCATTTTGAGATGCATAACCTTGTGATGTGTTGTTTTTTTTCAGCGTGTCTCCTCCACCTCACATCTGCGCATTTGCCTGTTCTTTCTGATTTTATCTCCCACCTCTTTTATTCTCTGTCAGCCTTCTTTGACTTTGTCTCTCTTTCTCTTTTCTCAGTTCACCTTCCTCCCTTCCTCTGTCGTCGTGCACTTCTCTCATCTCCTTGCTCTCTTCCTCTCTCAGCAGAGTGTATTCCTTTTGCTTTAGCCCAGCTGTCAGCTGCCTGCTTCTCCTGTACACACACATGCACACATCTGCACATCTGTGTGCATGCCCATGACAGTGTGGAGGAGTCGCCTCGCTAACTCTAAACATAAAGGCAGATAGGAGGCAGGCATGGATAGGAATAGGTAGAGTTCGCAGAGAAACCATGAAGTTTGAAGAGAGATAGGGAGGAGAGAAAAAGAGCGGAGCAGAAAGAGAGAAGAGGCACACAGAGAGATAGCATAAGATGAGGTGGGGAAAGACAAAATTCGTAGAATTGCTTTTCAGCCCACACACTGGGTTCTGAACTTCATCAAGTCTTCAGCCACTAATTTAGAGCAGTTCAAGAACTGCCAAAGTAGGCTTTGCGCAACACAATCACTCCCTTTCTGAGGCTGTAAATAACATTCAATATATCCAAGGTCAAGGTCCAAGCTTCAATTAAGCAATGTGATGAAGTGAGAAAAATTATAATTGTAACTGTAACTAAGTGTTTAAATCTAAACATCACTTAAATGTTTAGCTAGAGAGCGATAACAAATAAGAAATAACACGCAAAAGTATACTTCTACGTGTGCGGTATTTATTATTTCTGCCTGCTGCATCACCACCAGTCAATTCCTTCATAAATTATCTTTCCACGTGTTTCAGTAGCTCTTGCTCTCGTCTATTCATTTCTAAATTTAACCACAGTCCACAGCTCTTAAAAGCCACATCACAGTAGAATGAACACCTGTAGTCCAACTCAGCTGTCTACATATGCAGAGCAGCCAAATATGCCAGCCCACTCCCTTAGATGTCCAAACCAAAACATGTTCTAGCTGTCTTGGCATGTTTGCCATTTTTTGCTATGCTCCAATCAGGTCATTTGCAGGCCAGATTTTGGTGTAGCAAAAGTCACAGACGGGTCAGAAATTGGGTTCGGGCAGAAGGCTGGTAGCGTTACAATAAACACTGCTCTGGGTGTTGTCTGTCTGCTGATCCTTGGACATCTGCCTGTCTTTATGTCAAGTTGCTGTGCCAGCAGCACACCCAGAACTGTGAGTAATGACCCAATAAGGAAATGAGATGTTGAACAGAAAGAACGGCAGAGAAGAAAGAGATGGAAATGATGGTGTCATGCTTGACTCTTCCAGCATTCAGTGTTGCTTACATTCTTCTAAGCTCATCTGTTTTATATTATTTCAGATGTATCCAGATGTTGCTGGTGATGTGCAATCCATTACAGGTGAGAAACAGCAGGCATGACAAAGAGTGATTGTGCGGCATGAAGTTGTATATTGATCTTTACTCATGGGTGGGTGTGGGTGTTCCAGCAGGTACTTGGTATGGATGGAGTCAACTTCAGTGTGCATGTGGAGAACCAGACACAGGTGCGAGACACTATGAGTCGGCGACACCACAGAGTATACCAGCTCTACAGCCGAACCAGCGGCAAGCATGTCCAGGTGCTGGGACGCAAAATCAGTGCCCGGGGTGAAGATGGAGACAAATATGGTAATACAGACACACAAACATGTGGGTACGGTGTAAAGTGGACAAGCTTAAATGTTATGTGTGTATGCACAGTGATGCTTACTCGCACCGAAGTGCACACTCACACTATCTAACAGCTGCAAGTACAAAGACTTAAAGGTTGACCAAGTGCATGCATGAATGGAGACAGAATGCAACTGTGCAGCCACACTCACAAAAGCACACACACATCTCCCCAGGCTTTGGCAGAGGGGCAGTGGAGCTTGTCTTGGGAGTACAAAGACCTCATCGACTGGCTGCTGACTCAATGATTCACTAGAGAGGAAAAGAAAGTTGGAGAGAGAGAATGAAAGAGAGAGAGAGAAGTTGGTGTGTGAAATAAAGTGTGAGTTAGATGGAGAAGCCTGCCAGGTAGAGTGACTGGCTGAGTGTTAGAAACTCATCTCCTTCATCGATCCCTCCATTGATTTTGCATCCTCACTGTTATCTCCTCTGGATTTAAAACAGCAGGACCCCCCCACCCACCCCCCTTCTTCCATCCATCCTCTAACACTGTCCCTGTCCATCCCCCACTTCCTCCTCTGTCTGTAATGATGGCTAACCCATTCTTAACCCCCCCTGAATCAATGGGAAGAAGAAAGCCAAGCCATAAAAGTGGAGTTCACATTTCTGCATGTGGCTCAGCAGCACATCCTTTGCATTGATAAGGGTGCCAGGTCACAAACACACCACGTCAAGCTAGGAACTAGACTCCAGATGCAAGAGATAGGGAAGATTTTTTTTTTTTTTGGACAAATACTACCCGAAAGACAGCAAATCCACCTAAATCCGACCAACTGTGTCATCAAGGCATTAGACATGGGAACCAAGTGTAGAGAGCGAAGATATAAAGCAAGTGCACGAAAGTCTAAACATCAAGTGAAAGAACAGAAGGGAGATGAGAAGAGAGTTGGGGGAAGAGAGGCGAAGGGGGCAAGAGGGAGGGAGGTATTGATTTCTCTTGACCCCTTTGTTGACTAAGGTCATGTAGGAACCGTTTTAGGGATTTTATTTTTAAATAGGCACAAACGCTCTTTAAAGATGTGTAGTTAGTGAAGCGCTGTTGCCTGGAAGGATGAAGGATAAACACACATGCACCTGCACAGACTCACAGAGGCAGAAGCGCACATGCACACATCTTAAAACAACAATATCACAGACATTCAGTCTGAGTGTGTTCCCGCTCCTCTCTGCTCACGGTGCTCCATCTAGTCTTGGCTCTTATCTTTTTTACAAGGCCCATTTCTGGTCAGCGGCCTCACATCCATGTGTGTGACCAGGCTTATCTGACAACCATCTGCCCAACCAGAGACATTTACATCTGTCTGTGATTTATCAGTGTGTTTAATAGCAACTATGAATCCTACAACTGTGATTCGGTATGAATGCCTTATCTGCTTTAAAGGGCTGGTTTAGATTTAACAGCAGTCATTAATCTACGGTGCTCAACAAAAGGTCTGTCAGTGTCAGTTTGAATATTGTCCTTGACTAGGCCGATATGCAAAACTAAACAAGCCCTAAATTTAGGACGCCGTTAGCTTTCTGTCTTGTTATTTGTGGAAAGTCTTTAAATCTTGACTATATACAAGTACATAATGTGTCCACACTACCTATGGCTCTAATGTCTGTATGTCCCTTTGTATGTCCCTTCACAAGCCCAGCTCGTAGTGGAGGCTGATACCTTTGGTAGCCAGGTGAGAATCCGTGGCAAAGAAACCAATTTCTACCTGTGCATGAACCGCCGTGGGAAGCTGGTAGGAAAGGTGAGACTTCTTCTTTTAGACACATGTTAATCCAGAATATCTTCTTACTTCTCTCTGACCAGCCTTTTTTCTCTCTCTCTCTCTCCCTCTGTGTGTGTGTGTATGTGTATACCTGTGGTTTTTCTGCTCTCTCAGAAGGCCAGTAATCGAAGTGCAGACTGTGTCTTTGTGGAAAAGGTCCTAGAAAACCACTACACAGCTCTAATGTCAGCGCGCTACACGGGCTGGTATGTTGGCTTTACTAAAAAAGGGCGTCCTCGCCGTGGTCCGCAGACGCTTCCCAACCAACAGGATGTACACTTCATGAAACGCTTCCCACCAGGAGAGCAGCCTGACCTCACCACTCCATTTCGCTTCACCACCGTCAGCAAGCGGGGCAAGAGGGTGCGCGCTACTGGGCCCCGCTAGTTGTGGCTAACTCTAGCACCCACTGTCTTGTCATCCAAAGCCTTGACCTGAGCCTGCCAATAGCTAACCCTTTCATTCCTTCTGTCACACATGACTGAACACTTCCCTTTGTTGGGAAAAACATTGACCAGAATATTAATGAATCATTCATGGGGTTTAGCTCTACACCTTATTTGCCACTACAGCCTCCCTAGTTAATGATCATTCCTCTCAGTTTAAGTTCCCCTTACTGGACCAACGAGACCAATAATTGGTCCAATGCTGGAAGCTCTTTGGACCTGGTGTGCTTCCCTTCATTTTCTAGATACACTGACAGTGAACCTGAAGGGCAGCCAGAGTCCCTGGGGTCTACAAAGGCCTTTAGTTCACAACCACAAAAACCACAAGGCCTTTGTGTCTCCTGTTCTGTACCAGCTGGACAATGTCAAGTATGGGATTACAACTGGACCATGCAAAACAGACAAGGGTGAGAAAGACTGACTGAACAAGAGAGTGGGTGCTTAGCCTGCAGATAAAGGGAAAGAATGATGGAGAAGACATGAAAATGGTGGAATGGATAAAAGGGATATAGTGATCTGCTCAGATCAAATGGACCAGTAATGGACTGTTGACATGTGTCGCACTTATTTGTCTCACTGCTAAATTAGTGCCATCCTGTGAGGCTATTGGATGAATGGCAGGGTGAATGAGGGAATGTTCGAATGAGTGGCTTACTGAATAATTGCATGTTTGCAAGAAGTCAATGAGAAAATGTATGTTAGAGTGTGTGTGTCAGTGAGTGAGCGAGTGCAACAACCATGAGTGAAGCTGGATCACGGGGGACTCTGGAAAGGGACCATGTAGTCCCTGCATGAACCTGTGACAACTCACCGCAGGGACTGAAGCTTTAGGAACTGGAATGTATAAGAAAAAAAATACACACACAAAAAAAACAAAACAAGCTGCACCAAAAACAGCCAGCAAAATCACAGCAAAACCAAACTAACAACTGACCAAAGACAACTGGAAGACAACCTTCTTCATGAATCCTCCCCCCCAACAGGACATGACATCCTCAGCCTTTAGGCACAGAGGATGATGAGTGCCAGGGCCGAGCCCGCCGGGGAGGGTGCCTTTTCTTTTAGCATCGCTATGGAAACGACCCAGGGGATGATGCTCCTGTGCGATACCGTGGATACAGAGTGCTGCTACCAGGACATTCAGTGGAACAAACCAAAGTCTCATGCATAAACACAGGAGAAAAAAATATTAAAGGGAACAATTTATTGAAAGTTCTATATATATATTATATATATAAAAGAAGACAGAAACCCTAAATAAGCAATCTTACTATGATGGTTACTATAATTATTATGATAAAATTATTTCATTTATTTATTTCAGCTCTGTGTGCAGCAGTCTTTCTCGACTCAGTAAACCTTACAGAAACATTTTCTTTGTCTCCCGTCCTCATTCAACTTCTTCTTCACCTGCTCCGTTCTGTTTAAAGGGCCACTTTCACAGACACACCTGATCTGACCTTCTAGTGATTAATACGTTGTTCGAAAACCTATCACTTGGCAGCCTTTTTGTTTTCATTTAAAAATTAAATATCTAAGTAAATTATTTGGCCAAATATTAAAAGTTTTGTAAGTTCTAGCTATTGTAATACAATGGGCCGATAGCTTTCTGTGTTTTATATCATTTAGAACTTGTTTTTTCAGGTTCAGGCTCACCTCTACGTAGATTTGGTCTGCATTAAGGGTCCTCACATGCAGATCTTCTGAACAAGCAGACAAAAGATAAGCTAAATACAACACACTGAGATAGATAAATTATAATAGAACTTATGCAGCATTATGTAGGATTGCAAAATTGTGACTTCTGAGTGGTAGCTGCTGGAACAAAGCTGTTTTTTGTTGTTCTACGCTTTGGCATTAGAAGCCTTTCTACAAGAGGAAGAGAAACTCACTATGCAAACTGGTTAAGTAACACCAGTACCCAGCTAACCGCTGTAACTGTCTAGGCCACATCTACAGGTATCTGGGTTCAACTGTGGGTCACCAATCAGCCTCTGAGACAATTTAACAATTTGAGTAAGAGCTCTGTTCTTTACAGATGAACATTCACACACAAACACACACACACACACACACACACACACACTAAATAAAACTGTGATAAAATAATTGATTTAAATAACAGATTCATCACTGTTTGGTTTTCGGACTGATTGAAAAAACAAAATCTCAAGACATCACCTTTGATTGAAAAGCTTTAGAAGGCGTTAGGTTTGAGCTCCATAAGCTACGATCAGGTCAATCCTTATGCCTGTTTTTTTATGTAAGATGCCCTGCTTTTTGTAACCCTCAAGGGATTTGTGTGTCCTACCAGGATAAAACCAGCTATCTTTCATTTATTAGGCAAATGTGTAAACAACTAGTAGTCGCAGGTTTAATCTCTTTTATATGTTTGTGGGAGAATTGGTGATCTAATGCTGTAAATCTGAGACAAGCAGGGTTTGCAGTATCTAACAATATTTTAAGCATGCAGGAGAGAAATATCACAGTAACAGTATCGAGTATTTTGATATAAAATTATAACTTACAACAACCAATTTTGCCCATTTGTATGAGGCTTACTTTTTGCATTTATAACAAGATACTGGCTGCAAATTAAAATTTGTTGATAGCACATTATTTTATTCATTTTTTGTTAAACTGTATAAAAGTTTTGAAACGGTTTCTGAGCAAATACCACAGGAATGCTGAGTAATGGCAAAAACCTGCCTCTTTTTCACCAGCCAGATTTGGGAGGTACTGTGAAGTTGAAATGGAAGTTGAAATACAGCAACAAAAATACACCCTCCAAACTAGAAGTTCTTTTACCAACAGATGTCTAACAGAGTCAAGATGCAGGGGACCTCGGCAGAACAGGTTCTCAAGTTTTCATAGTCACTATGGGCTGAATTAGTCACTGTAGCTCAGACATTAAAATGCATGGAAAATACATATCTAAGATTTACCAGCCTAACACAGGAACCATTTGAAAATACTTTAAAAAAAATACTGAGCATTAGTTGCTGTGCAAACACCAGCAGTCACTTCCCTGCTGTAAAGCTTTGCAGTCAATTTCCATCATGGAGGATCAGACAACAAGCAGTAGTGAGATACAGTTTCATAGTTGCTTCTTTGCTCATCTTATCCCCCATCCCTCCCCTTCCTTCCCTATCCTAGCAGGAGGTCAGTGAAAAGATGTCACTGCCAAATGACCCAATCATGTCTGCAGACACAAACAGCTGACTCAGGGGGGAAAAGGGTTGTACCAGAGGATTCCTGTTGCAAAGCAGCAGGAATCTGTACTGGGGGGCTGTACAAGGAGGAGACAGTGAGGTGGGAGGGATAGGATAAAGACAAGTGAGTAGGGGGTGGTGGCGGTGGGGCGAGCTGTTCATTTTTGGAACGTTGCTCCAGTTCCACTCGGGAATGATGGAAATATTCCGCATAGCCAAACCCGGAGTGGAAGGTGTATGGTAATCATGTCGAGGAAGGAATGCCAAATATGTGCGTGAGAACGGAGCTGTGACCTGAGAGCTGCAGGAATTATGGGCCAAAATCCCACAGACCCAGAGGAAGCACACACACCCATATCCAACACATACACACATCATATATTAATGGTGCTCCACCAAGCACAAATCCATCCCACATAACTTATTCCCAGAATTTGAAACATTCTACTATACTGAACTAAACCCAGAAATGAAGAAAACCAACCCCCTCAGCAGGCCACCTCCCCTCCTTCTCTTCCTCCTAGAGAAAACACACTGCACAATAACAAATGTATTATAGATCTCAACTACACTACCCAGAGCTTTGCTAGAAGTCCTCCACTGTAAGCTTTTTAAAGTATACATCCCTCCTTCACAGTTAGTGTTTACAACAGTGGGCATGTGATCTGCTGTAACAGGTTGTTTAGACTCCAAACCTGGCTACCCAACAGTCACAGAGGCACAGACTCATAAACAGATCGGCTTGTAGGAGAAAGCTGAGTTTATACCCCCACCTGGTGGCTGCATTCAATACTTGAACAGTAGCAACAGGGAATACAACCTCACCAGCATGTATTCCCTTCTTTAAAAAGAAAAAGAAAATCTATATCTTTCTCTCTCATATATATTTCTATCTCATAGTTGACTATTGAGGCCAAGATGCAAACTGGCTTCCGTTACATTCAAACTCTCAGCCACTGGCACTCATTTTCTGAACGTCTTCATTAATCAGAGACTGAAATTGATGATCACTAGTAGGGAGAACTGAGAATTTCCCCATGGATTTTATGTTAAACATTTTTGTACTCAAATTTTGTGCAGTACCTAATGTACATGTTCAGGACGAGGTGTGCTCTTATAATGCTTGCCATCCTTTTTAATTTTTAAAATAACAGGAAAAAACCCCAAAATACAAACGCCATTTCTATTTAGAAAATGCAATAGGGTAAAAGAACATAGACCTGCCAAAGGTCTATGTTCCATGTTGACAGACAGCATTTACATGCAGCATTCTTTCAGATTTGCATGTACTCCAAACAATGTGTGTCTGCAAGCAATCTGATAGAATACATTAAGTGTCATTGTGTGTAAGGGTATTTTCGGTCCAACGGTTTTCTTGTAGGTAACAACAGCTACTTCCTTCCCATCTAGCCTGTTTACAATATACTTCAGATAAAGGCCTAATGAACTTTCAGTCAGATGGAGAGGCAGTGCAACACACACATACACCACACGTGCCATCCACACAGACGAGAACAGATAGACAACTAGACACTCATTCATGTTACAGTTGGCTCAACACTCCACCACTGTCAAGTACTTTATTCACAATAAGGTCATTTTCTTCTTTAAAAAATCATTTTTAATATACAACACAATTTTTGACAAGACAACTCCGTTTACAGCTAAATTTGAGCTCTTGAATTCCAGCTTCTCTCATAACCAAAGCAAGCACGATGATGATGATGATGTAAGGAGAGAAAGATGGTGTGAAAGGGACAGATGGACAAGAGGTCAAGATTAGAAGAAAGAATGAGGAAGAAGACAGAAAGAGCAAGAGGGTGGGAAGAAAGGACTACGCTTAGTATGATTTTTTTTTTTGTACTAAGAACCAAAAATACTCAAATAAAATTAGAACAGTAATAAAAAAACGAAAAGAGTTTAAGAAAAAAAAAAAAGAAAAAAAAAAAGAGCAGAGGTGTACCAGGATGCTGTATCCAAGGCACCCTCACATGCATGTCTGTGACGCTTCTGCTCCGTTCTGCCATTTCACAAGTCCACATACACACACACACTCTTGCAAACTTTGAGTGTGTATGTGCGCGCACCCCCATATTCCAAACGAGTGTGCATCTCTGGAGGTTGGGGAGAGGGAGCGTAGGAAGGGTGGGGTGGGTGGAGAGAAAGAAAGAGACAGGGAGACATAAGAGAGAGTGAAAGGGAGGAAGGGATGCAATCCCAAACACTTCTTCCTCCCTCCTTCACTCCCTCCAGCTCCCATCCTTCCCTTCTTTCCTAGAGCTGAGTAAAGAGTCTCTGTCTCCCGCATCACAGCTCCGGTCATCCTCTGTCCAACTGTGCCACTGTGCGTGTACATATGTGTGTCTGTGTGTGCACGTGTCTATGTAATATATATATTTATAAATATATATCTATAAGCAATTCCATATCAGTGGAAACCAGTTTTGGCTGGGACTGAAAACTGAGGAGAAGCAGCTGCTTTAAGTTTGTATCAAGGGGACAAAAAAAAAAAAAAAAAAAAAAAAAAAAAAGGGGGGGGGGAGGGAGCTTGTGACTTATATAAGGTCTAAGTTAATACTGTCATTAGTGTACTTTACAAAACATAAATTAGTAGTAGAAGGTGAGCTTCTTGGGAGCGCTGCATTGGTTTTGTAGTAGGGAATCCTCATCAGTGTTGACCTGTGTGTGTATATGTCGCTTTACTGGGCAGGCAATGGGCACAAGCTTAGAGTCTGTCAGAACTGGCAGAGAGGAGTAGGTGGTGGGGTCTGAGTGGGAGATGGACAGAGAGATGACAAGGAGGAACGAGAAGAGATGGGCTCCTTTCCATGACGGATGCACCGATCAACCAATCAGCCCTGGGTTCCTCCAAGAAAGGGTACGGTTGATGGTGACACCTGGGTGAGAAAGCCAGAGTGTCACACAGGTGGGTCTGCACCACAAGGGTAAACACAGAATGCTGGATTTTTATAGAAAGGTTTTACAGTGCCAGGTGTATCTAGGTACCTGCTATCTAGAAATATACGTGTAGGTACGCGAAGGAGACCGTCCCTCTGACTG